ATTAAAACCCAAAAGTTGAAACATCAATTTGAATACTTTTTGAAGTGAATTTGAAAAACTCATGAATTAAACTCAACTTTATTTTGTTCAAACTTGCATTTACTGTAATAACCCAAATTGAGGAACATTCCCCATTATGCGCCTGCTCACTCGTCATTGCTTGTTCGTAATTTCTTGGCCAAAAACAACACCGTAATCATGCCTCAGCCACCGTATTCACCAGATTTGGCCTCAAAGGGACGGCGTTTTGCGACGATTTAGGAAATGAAAACTGAATCGCTGAGAGAGCTCAAAGACATACCAAAAAGTGCAAAACTGATTCGAGGATTAGTCAAATCGATGGCACAAGTTTAGATCTGGGGGAAACTACTTTGGTGGGGACAAAATTGAACTTGATGAATAAATGAATATTATTTGGGAAAAAAAATCATATTATTTTTTGAACATACCTCGTAGGTAACATAAAATGTTCAATATTGTAACCAAATTATGGAAAACGTAAACTGTGATAAATCTTCTGGGACCCTAGGATTATAGATTAGGTAAATCCGTGAATGGTCTGATACCGAGAAACTGGCAAATATTTTAATTACGCGTCATTTGAATGTCATTGTTTGAAGCTATGGTAGCATTGAAACTTTCAACTGGACAGAAGATTACATATTTAGCACCACAATCTATTCAATATATATTTATTATCATACCTAAGTTTCAAATGGCGACAGCTGGTCGCCTGTTGTTTGCCTTGTTAGTTCAATATACGCCGAGAATTGTTGTAAGTCAACTGAAAAATAATAAATGATAAGACTGTTGACAATAATTAGGCCATGCCAACGAAAATAACTTCGTGATTTCGAAATATTTTTTCTACAAGTTATTTGAAAACTATGTACACTAAAGAGAACCATTTCGATTCACGAAGTTTTCTATAGAATGTTTGATGAATTACGCAAAAAATATCGAGATATACAGCAGGACATTTTTTTAGCTGAACCAACTATTGCCATCTCCGAAACGGTACGACCTACAAAATCGAATTTCGTTTTTTGGCTCTATCGCCTCCATTTCGAATGCTATAAAGAAAGGCAGAAGTACTTTCAATACTGTTTCATATTTGCTTTGATCTGATACAAACCAGTTTGCAATGAGATGTTTCGTTCGCTAGAATGCATCATCAAACTTATTTTTCAAATACGGACCTGTAGTTTTTCATTGTTTTTTGTAGCCACTGTGAGTTACTTGTCTTGGATATATGTCTGTCGAATATAATTCAATGTCCAGCGTGGTATTAGCAGGAGAAGCAGTTGTTTTCGGCAAGTATTTCCCAGAATCTATTGTGTAGGTGAGTTGGGAGAGATGAATATTTCGCGATTTTATTTTGAAATATTTATTTTGTCAATGTTCTATAATAAAAGTCAAGAGTGATAATATCTCGAACAAAGGCGATTTTGGTGAAATATATTCTAAAGGAGTTGTAATCGGTTATAACATGGTATTTGAATTCTATAAATAGAAATATACGTCATATACCATGTGATTCATTTGAAATGTATTTTAGTACTATATAGTGAAAAATAATTTGTGGATGAGTCTAACAACATAAAAGTATCCGTATATGCAACTCCACTTACGAAATTCACCCCAACTTTCAAATGAAACCTAGAATTTTGGCTGAAAGAGAAACACATAGTGGTTTATGTGTACATTAATCGGTCGGTAGCCAAGCGGTTCGGCGTGGGTGCTTTGTTAACTCACTCGAATTAACTGCGGTGTTGGTCGGTGGTTCAAGCTCTAGTCTGAACGATCGATCTTCACTTGCTATCGTCCAACCCCTGTTAGGAATCACACGTTAAAAGTTAAGACCTCGTTAATCCTTAGCTCGCACAAGTTTCGGCTTCTGAGGGTTGTCGTTCGAAGGGTTGCGACAGCTGGTTAACGGAAAAAGAGATTTAACAGATTTTTTAAAACAGATTAATATTCTCGGGGAAAGATGATGTAGATTTTGATTATTTCTTAGAGAGATGGAGTTGATGGTTAAGTTAGGTTAGGTCCAAAGTGAGTGGGTCTATTCGACCCTCCACCGCAACCCGCAAGGGTTTATTGTGGCTCACACCTATTCACACTCGACCAAATAAACCCAGCTTCTTAACGAAGCCGATTAGTTTGTATGGTGAGTGGTCTTTCAGGTTAGATGGTGAGAGTACGGCTCTGCCGAACTCTAAAAACCCGATTATGCAGCGTAGCAAGCACAAGTATATGCTATGCTGTTTCATCATTTTCGAAACAGAGGTGACACACACTGTCTTTCGACAGTCCAAGTCTGTACATATGATGGTTCAAATGACAGTGACCTGTAAGAAGGCCTATTAGACATCGTAGTTCATTCCTACTGTAGTCCAACAACTGTTTGGTATCAAGCTTCGAAGGGTGAAAAAACGCCTTAGAGTGAGCCAATCCTGGAAGATTCTGCCAGAAGTCCATAAATCTTTTTACCATCCAGGTGTTCAATGATTCAAATGACAGTGACCTGTGAAAAGGCCTGTTAGACATCGTAGTTCATCACTACTGTA